ACCAAGCCCGTCGTCTCCTTCATCGCCGGCCTCACTGCCCCGCCCGGCCGCCGCATGGGGCATGCCGGAGGTACGCAGGGGGCATGCAGGACATGTGCATGGGGCACGGGAGGTATGCCGAGGGCATGGAGGGCATGTGCATGGGGCATGCGGGAGGTGTGCTGGGGGCTTGCCTGTACGAATGGGCATTGGATGACTGCTACCGTACCTCCCTCTCTTCTCCTGCTTCTACCAATTCCATCTGCCCAAATCATGCATCTCTCCTGATCCCGCATTTTACCTGCTCCCTGCCCTCCGCACTACAGCGATCATCAGCGGGGGCAAGGGCACGGCGCAGGACAAGATTAAGGCACTGGAGGGCGCGGGGGTGACGGTGGTGCGCTCGCCTGCTCAGATCGGCAACGCCATGTTCTCTGCCTTCAAGGAGCGTGGCCTCGTGTAGAGAGGCATGAGGAGGAGGGCGGACGAGAGGTTGTAAAGTGGATTTATCTTCTTGAAGCAGCAGCTTGTTGAAAAGCAGCAGCAGCATTTCAAAATCCCGGCATTTGTCAAATATAGTATGTGCAACTTTTTCTTAATACTCGAAACATAATAGCAGTAGCAGAGTGATGTGTAGCAGAAGTCTTAATACTCGAAACATAATAGCAGTAGCAGAGTGATGTGTAGCAGAAGTGACAAACTTGGGCTCACTCTCCCATGTTGGGAGTTTCGGATTGGTAAGTTGTTGAGGGATTTGTTCTGCTGGGCTCTCGGGGTCAGGCTGTGAGAGCATTAGTAGCTCAAATGAGAGCAGCAGAGCAGTATGATAGTCAAAGGGCCTATGAGAGAGCCCTTGGTTTGGACAAAATAGCAGCAAAAGTGGCAAACTTGGTTGTTGGTGCTTTCTTGTGACCACCTTGTCAACTGTTTGTATCGAACAAAAGATGGTGGGCATGGCCCGCATCGCATCAGGCATGAGAATTTCGAATTCGGCTCAGCGCAAGCTCACCGGCACCGGCGGGGAAACCAAAGCCTCCCCCCTTGCCTGACAGATTTGCCCAGCTGATGGTGAACTTGTCGGTCGAGCGATTCCTCAACCATACGTCATGCTTGCGTAAGAGCTAGGACCACAAGGTTAAAATTGTCCGTCAGATGCGTCGAAAGCGTTCGGATAAACACCACGTGTATCACCCACATCCAGCAGGCGGGCTTCCGTCAGAATTATGTGGGACCTGTTTGGGAACACGAAAGAAACACATATAAAAGGTTCTTTAACCGTAAAACTATCAATCGGGGTGGGGTACGGGGATGTTCAGGTTGAAGGGATCAAACCAATTTCATCAATCTGCCGTAAAAACAGTGGAAACGAGTGCTTAGGAGATTTCCCGCGCAAACGATTCAAACCAGTGGAAGCTTCAGGTTGCAATTCACTCCATCCACCCACAACAGAACCAGCTCGCAGAAGTTTGAAAGCCTCTAAAGTTACGCGCATGATTCTCGTTTACCAAGGAAACTGATGCTGATTGGGCATGGCGCACAGTTGCGTTCGCGAGCGCCAAACTGGTTCTGAATGCGCAGATCCTGTCAGCGCAAGCGCAAAGCATACACCCTGCGCGTCGCGGAAACCTTTCCCGCGCTGTGTCTGCCTGGAAGCCGCTATATTCCGTTCATGCGGCAAGGCTTGTAAGTTCGCAAGCATGTTCGCTACATGAATCTGACCACTTTACGTGATGACGAAACGAAAATCCGCTTCGCCTGCCGTAGATTGCTCCTTCAACAAACGGCAAGGTTCGCTCCCGACGAGGGTGGCGGGCGGAGGGCGAGCAGCGGAAGCAAGTTTTTCTGGGTAACAAAGTGTCCGTGTGAAGCGAGGCTCTCCCGTTGCGGCGAGCTCCATCCATTCGCAAGGGCCAACCTCTCTCACACCTCACAAGCGACTATCCCACATTCCCAAGGCTCTTCCATTCACCTCTCCCGTATCATCCTTCCACGTACACCACGAGGCCGCCATGACTGTCATGAGAATACAGTATACGTAGACTCGGTATGGCTCTCGTAGATATCCTTAACTCGCCATGGATTCCGTAAAAAAAAATACTTTCCTCAATCTCGCTCGTTACAGAAACGGAAATTGGTCGGGTTTAGTATCAAGATCAGTCGCAGATACTGAGTGTGTTGTTTCAAGGAGGTTCATATCGACGCCACCCTCTGAAGTTCCCTTGTTTAGTTCCCTCGTCTGGAAGCTTATACATCAAGTTTAGGATGAAAGGTCGTCTTCTTTCTCCGGATAGTTCACCACCGCTTAGCCGACGGAATCTTCACCTTCTTGTGACGCTCGTCCGCTTTTGTTGGAAGTTCCGCCCGTCCGCTTTCGTCCGCTCGTCTAGGAAGCGTTCCAACTCTCTCTGTCGAGCAGATATTATCAGAGATAGCGAAATGGACGGCTTTCTCGACGGATTTGACGATGCTTGACGGTCTTAAAGGTTTCTGAAAGCTCAAAGTAGTAAGACTACGGTTTCATCCCCACCTTTCGAGTCGCCGGAGAAAAAATTTCAGATCCTACTTTTACCTGGGAGTTCCTATTAGCAGTCGAAGCGGTCTTGGGAGAGTGCGCGCGTTTCCGTTTCATCCTCCTCAGCAACAGCGTTTCATGTCAGCTACAACGGCTAGTTGCGACAGCCTGTCGCGGAGCGACAAGCGGCGACAGTCGAGATTCGAGCTGCGAGCGGAAGGCGACACGGAAACGACGAACGGACCGGAGATGAAAGAAAAAACGGAGCGAAGCGGGGGAAACGGCGAGCATCGAGCGGAAAAGTGACGAGCGGCAACGTTGAAAGCAGGGAGAGGAAAGCGGGAGCTGAATGCGCCGAGCTAACGGCGAGAAGCGAACGGCGATTACCGAGCATCGAGCGGAGGCGATGTGCGACGGAAATCGAGCATCTAGCATCGAGGGATTGCAAGCAACGACGGGACAAAGCGGAAACGACGAGCGACGCCGAGGGATGAGCGGTGACTGTTGACGAACGCGGCCATTGTTGAACGCCGAGCGACGAACTTCGACTTCTGAACGGCGACGAACGACTAGTGTGAACGCCGAGCGACGATTGGCGACGATCGGAGAGGAACGGCGACTGCTGAACTGCAGGCGACGAACGACGATCGCCGAGCGTTGAACTGCAGGCGACGAACCGCGAGAGTTGTACGCCGAACAACAAACGGCGACTGTTGAACGCTGAACAACGATACGCGAACGACTGACTGCAAGTGACGAATGACTGCTGAAACGCCGTCTGACGAACGACTGCTGAAACGCCGTGTGACGGATTGGCGACGAGGCGAGCAACGCTGCGGTTGACGGTGACGGCTGACGGCGAGCAGAAACTCGACGAGCGGAATCGGCGAGCGGGAAGGCAAGACGAGCGGAATCGGCGAGACGCAACGAACGGAATCGGCGAGACGCGACCAACGGAATTGGTGAGACGCGATGAGCGGAATCGGCGAGACTCGACGAGCGGAATCGGCGCGACGCGACGAGCGGAATCGGCGCGACGCGACGAAAGGAATCGGCGAGACTCGACGAGCGGAATCGGCGCGACGCGACGAGCGGAATCGGCGCGACGCGACGAGCGGAATCGGCGAGACTCGAGGAGCGGAATCGGCGCGACGCGACGAACGGAATCGGCGAGACTCGACGAGCGGAATCGGTGCACGCATGGCGAACGGAACGACGAGCTACGAACGCGGAGCAGCTACTAAACCCCGCTAAGGTAGCAGTGCATTCATGCCATGGGTTGTGTGCTATTCTTTCCGTTGTGTTGTGCTCACTCTCTTCTCTCTAGTTCGCCGCGAGTTGCTTTCTTGATTTCGCCCGCTCTTGCTCTCTGCCCTGTTGCTCTCTGCCACTTGTTCTTGCTCTCACTGCTACTCTGTCTTGTGCTCTCTCCGCCTCTCTGCCTTGTTGCTCCTCGTGCAGAGCCAGCAGAGGGCGGAAGTGGGATGACGCACGGCTGCCCGCCCTGCTGACCACTGCTCGCCTCTCAGGGAGCAGGGGAGCGTGCGCAAGAGCAAGGAGAGGGGAGCGCGCAAGGGGAGCGCGCGCGGCTGCAGGGGAGCGCAAGGGGAGCGCGCCTGCAGGGTAGCGCAAGGGGAGCGCGGCTGCAGGGGAGCGCAAGGGGAGCGCGCCCGCAGGGGAGCGCATCTGCATGCTCCTTCGACCCTCTTCAATCCGACTAAGCTATCTCACTCAATTCGCACTGTGTTGTGCACGCACCACTCACTCGCTTGCGCTCGTGCCTTGCGCTGCTTGCTTGCACTCGCTCCCTCCTCCTCCTCTCGCCGCTCTCACGGGCGGCACCAAGGGACCCTCCCCAGGTGTGTGACAGCAGGCGACTGCCAGCGTAAGTGGTAACGTCAGGTGTGGTAAGGTACGGTACTGTCCTTGGTGCCCGCCCTGCAGCTGCCACCACCACCGCCGCTGCCACCGCCACTCACCCCACACACGCACTCTCACTGCTTGCGTCCTTCCGTTTTTCCTTGCTCGCATGCTTTCCGTTTTCCGTTCTGTCACTTGCGTACGCCATGCTAATCGCCTTCCATCTCACCTTCCTTCTCTGCTCCGTGCACTTGTTCCCCTCTTCTCCTCTCCTCCTGCCAGCTTCCCTCTGCCTACACCCCTCTGCCAGCACACCTACAGGCCGGCAGCAGCAGGGAGCATGGAGGAGCAGTGGGAGCAGCGTGGCGAGCGGGAGAGGCGAGTGGTGGGATGACGCACGGCCTGGGCTGGCCCTGCTGACCACTGCGCTCGCCCAACCTCCCGGCAGCACCAGCGCGACCGACCGTGGCGTCTCTAAGTGGCGCTGTGGCAGCAGGGGGAGTGTGGCTGCAAGGAGAGGCGCGTGGCCGTGTGGGTGCTGCACGCATGCAAGGGGAGCACGCCTGCATGCTCCTTCGACCCTCTTCAATCCGGCTAAGCTATCTCACTGAATTCGCACTGTGCACGCACCACTCACTCGCTCACACTCATGCCTTCCGCTGCTTGCTTGCGCTCGCTCCCTCCTCCTCCTCTCGCCGCTCTCACGGGCGGCACCAAGGGACCCTCCCCAGGTGTGTGACAGCAGGCGACTGCCAGCGTAAGTGGTAACGTCAGGTGTGCTAAGGTACGGTACTGTCCTTGGTGCCCGCCCTGCAGCTGCCACCGCCACCGCCGCTGCCACCGCCACTCACCCACGCACGCACTCTCACTGCTTGCGTCCTTCCGTTTTTCCTTGCTCGCATGCTTTCCATTTTTCGTTGTCACTTGCGTACGCCATGCTAATCGCCTTCCATCTCACCTCCCTTCTCTGCTCCGTGCACTTGTTCCCCTCTTCTCCTCTCCTCCTGCCAGCTTCCCTCTCCCTACGCCCCTCTGCCAGCACACCTCCAGGCCGGCAGCAGCAGGGAGCACGGAGGAACAGTGGTAGCAGCGTGGCGAGCGGGAGAGGCGAGTGGTGGGATGACGCACGGCCTGGGCTGGCCCTGCTGACCGCTGCCCTCGCCCAACCTGCCCTCGGCCAAGGCAGCATCGAACGAAGAATCGAGTGAGTAGCAGGAGCAATGTTGTCCCGTTTTTCCCCCTCGCACTCTTTACATTTCACCCTGTCACTTTGCTCTCTCCAATTGTAACCTCCACTCTGACTGACCTTCCCTGTGCGATTGCAACTTTCTGGTCGCTGTGCAGAAAATGTTTAGGCGTCAATGGGATTGCGTGTCTGCAGCGACAGGAGCAGGAGGAGAGCAGTGGGTGAGTGATGCTGCGGCAGCCGGGGATGTGGCACCAGCGGGAGAGTGACAGCTTGCAGAGAGCCACGCCATGCTTGGGCCACCTGGTGAGTTGCCCTCCACTGCTCTTCATCTTCTCTACCAAGCTTGGCTCGTCGTTGTCTCGTCTCTGCAGTGTTTCATTATCTTCTACTCTTTTTCCGTCGTTCCTCTCCCCATTGTCTCCCCGCCCTCTTTTGCCTCGGCAGGATGCAAGGAGGCAAGGAGAGGGGCAAGGTGCGAGTGGAAGCATGGGCATCTCACCTGTTGCTGGGTGTCTGGCGAGTGGCGAGGAAGGATGCAAGGAGGAGGCAAGGAGGAGGCAAGGAGGCAAGGAGGCAAGGAGAGAGGCAAGGAGGAGGCAAGGAGGAGGCAAGGAGGAGGCAAGGAGGCAAGGAGGCAAGGAGGAGGCAAGGAGGAGACAAGGAGGAGGCAAGGAGGCAAGGAGGAGGCAAGGAGGAGGCAAGGAGGCAAGGAGGCAAGGAGAGAGGCAAGGAGGAGGCAAGGAGGAGGCAAGGTAGAGGCAAGGAGGCAAGGAGGAAGCAAGGAGGAGGCAAGGAAGCAAGGAGGAGGCAAGGAAGCAAGGAGGAGGCAAGGAGGAGGCAAGGAGGAGGCAAGGAGGAAGCAAGGAGGCAAGGAGGAAGCAAGGAGGCAAGGAGGAGGCAAGAAAGCAAGGAGGCAAGGAGGAGGTAAGGAGGCAAGGAAGCAAGGAGGCAAGGAAGCAAGGAGGCAAGGAAGCAAGGAGGCAAGGAAGCAAGGAGGCAAGGAAGCAAGGAGGCAAGGAAGCAAGGAGGCAAGGAAGCAAGGAGGCAAGGAAGCAAGGAGGCAAGGAAGCAAGGAGGCAAGGAAGCAAGGAGGCAAGGAAGCAAGGAGGCAAGGAAGCAAGGAGGCAAGGAGGCAAGAGGTGGTTTCTTGGGCTGCTGAGAGCACTGCTATTTCAAGGAGCAAGGAGGCTGAGGCACGACAAGGAGAAGCAGACGGCAGAGAGGAGGCTGCTGCACCTGTGGACGGCAGAGGGGAGGCTGCTGCACCTGTGGACGGCAGAGGGGAGGCTGCTGCACCCGTGGACGGCAGAGAGGAGGCTGCTGCACCCGTGGATGGCAGAGAGGAGGCTGCTGCACCCATGGACGGCAGAGAGGAGGCTGCTGCACCTGTGGACGGCAGAGAGGAGGGTGCTGCACCTGGGGACGGCAGAGAGGAGGCTGCTGCACCCGTGGACGGCAGAGAGGAGGCTGCTGCACCCGTGGACGGCAGAGAGGAGGCTGCTGCACCCATGGACGGCAGAGAGGAGGCTGCTGCACCTGTGGACGGCAGAGAGGAGGGTGCTGCACCTGGGGACGGCAGAGAGGAGGCTGCTGCACCCGTGGACGGCAGAGAGGAGGCTGCTGCACCCGTGGACGGCAGAGAGGAGGCTGTTGCACCTGTGGACGGCAGAGAGGAGGGTGCTGCACCTGGGGACGGCAGAGAGGAGGCTGCTGCACCCGTGGACGGCAGAGAGGAGGCTGCTGCACCCGTGGACGGCAGAGAGGAGGCTGTTGCACCTGTGGACGGCAGAGAGGAGGCTGCTGCACCTGGGGACGGCAGAGAGGAGGCTGCTGCACCGTTCACAGGGAGCGGAGGAGGGGTGAAGAGGAGGCGAGCAGAGGAGGCGAGCAGAGGAGGCGAGCAGAGGAGGTGAGCAGAGGAGGCGAGCAGGGGAGGGGAGCAGGGGAGGGGAGCAGGGGAGGGGAGAAGAGGAGGCGAGCAGAGGAGGCGAGCAGAGGAGGGGAGAAGAGGAGGCGAGCAGAGGAGGAGCTGAGGAGCTGAAGCAGATGCGAGCAGCAGCAGGGAAGAAGAGGAGGTGAGCTCGCACCTCTCTGTTCCCGGATCTCCTCACAGATGGTGAGATGAAACGAACTCAAACTCAATCGAATCAAATTCTTTCTCTCCTTGGCTTGTTGACAGAAGGGGCAGCGGAAGCAGAGGTAGAAGCTGAAGCAGAAAGGGGTTAGCGGAAGCAGAGGGGGTTACCTGAAGCAGAGGGAGCAGCTGAAACAGAGGGGATTTAGCCAGAACAGAGGGAGCAGAAGGAAGATAAAAAAGAGCGGGTGAAAAACAGAGTGTGGGAAACCTGGGCGCCCAGGTTCCCCACCCAGCGATATGTTCCCACAGCAAAAGGAATATACCTTATCACGGCTATTCCTTTCCAGTAATTATCACGGCAATATGTTCCCCGCCCGGGTTTCCCACTCAGAGGGTGGGAAACATGCGTGCCCATCAATGTGTTTTCGAGGAGTATAGCCATCATCACGGCTATACACATTTCTAGCCATTATTACTGCAATGTTTCCTTCCAGCCATTATTACGGCAATGTTTTCTTCCAGCCATGATTACGGCAACCATGTCCTTGCCAGTGCTTGGGAGGATTAATCCTCCAGGCAGTGCCTTGGAAACAACCTGAGAGCCACCTGTTGTTACCTCCATAGAGTAGGGGGGCTGAATCTCCCAACTCAATGGTTCGGACGCTTGTTTTGGGAACCAAGGTTTGCCCTTGTTTTTGGCGCATACCACATTCCCTATCCCATGTTTCATGGCCTGTTGTCTGCCCTTTTGGAAACTGCCCTATTTGAGATCTGCCCGCTTATGGGAACTGCCCTCTTATGGGAACTGCCCTCTTATGGGAACTGCCCTCTTATGGGAACTGCCCTCTTATGGGAACTGCCCTCTTATGGGAACTGCCGTCTTATGGGAACTGCCCTCTTATGGGAACTGCCCTCTTATGGGAACTGCCCTCTCATGGGAACTGCCCGCTCATGGGAACTGCCCTCTTATGGGAACTGCCCTCTTATGGGAACTGCCCTCTTATGGGAACTGCCCTCTTATGGGAACTGCCCTCTTATGGGAACTGCCCTCTCATGGGAACTGCCCTCTCATGGGAACTGCCCGCTCATGGGAACTGCCCTCTTATGGGAACTGCCCTCTTATGGGAGCTGCCCTCTTATGGGAGCTGCCTACTTTTCTGGCGCTTTGTTTTCTTCCCCATTATCACGGCTGTATTCCTTTCCAGCCATTATCACAGCTATATTACTTTCTGGCCATTATTATGGCAATGTTTCCTGGCAATGCTTCCTTCTAGCCATTAGTATGGCAATGTTTTCTTACCATTGCTTGGGAGAATATAGCTCCCAGCAGTGCTTCGGAAACAACCTGGGAGGCACCTGTTATTGCTTCCATAAGCGCCTCGCTTCTTTCCCTTTTGGGAAGAACCTGTTCTTCCCCTTTAGGAAATGCTCACCCTCTCTTCCCTTTTGAGAACTACCCTCTGTTTCTTCCCCTTTGGGAACTACTCTTGCAGCCCCTTTGGGAACTACCATACCTGTTTTTCCCGCTTTGACAGCCATGTGTCACTTCCATAGGGTGGGAGATTCAATTTCCCGGCCATTGGTTCAGACACCTCTGGTTGCCAGCGCTTCCTTTGGGAAGGTTCCTTTAGCACCTTTGCCAGCGTTTCCTTCAGCCCCTTTGGGAACTTCCTGTTTTTGCAGTCCCTTCGGGAACTGCCCTCCCTTTCTTCCCCTTTTGGGAACTACCCTCCTTCTCTTACCCTTTGGCAGCTACCTCTTTGTAAGCCCCTTTGGGAACAACCTGTTTTTTGCGCTTGGCAACCATACCTGTCACTTCCATAGGGCGGGAAAATGAATCTCCCGGCAATTGGTTGAGACAACTCTGGTTTGACAGCGCCTCTTTTGGGAACCAATGTTCCTTCCCCTTGTTCTTTTTGTTTTTTGAAAGCTACCTCTCTGTTGTGCTTGGCAACCATACCTGTCACTTCCATAGGCCGGGAAACTTAATCTCCCAGCCATTGGTTCGGACAATTCTGGTCGCCAGCGCCTCTTTTGGGAACCAACCGCGGTTCCTTGCCCCGCTTGGGCGTTTGTTTTCCCCTGGCGATGGTCCCCCACCTCACAGTGGTGCCAGGGTGTAACGCTGGTGGCAGCACCAACTGCCCCAGCGGCCAAGAGGGGTCCAACCTAGCTACGTCTCTGATTCTTTCTTCTCCTTTTGGCTCGTTTTGGCTTCTGCTGCTTGGTTCGCTGGGGGCAGCACCAACTGCCCCAGCGGCCAAGAGGGGTCCAACCTAGCTACGTCTCTGATTCTTTCTTCTCCTTTTGGCTCGGTTTGGCTTCTGCTGCTTGGTTCGCTGGGGGCAGCACCAACTGCCCCAGCGGCCAAGAGGGGTCCAACCTAGCTACGTCTCTGATTCTTTCTTCTCCTTTTGGCTCGGTTTGGCTTCTGCTGCTTGGTTCGCTGGGGGCAGCACCAACTGCCCCAGCGGCCAAGAGGGGTCCAACCTAGCTACGTCTCTGATTTTTTCTTCTCCTTTTGACTCGGTTTGGCTTCTGCTGCTTGGTTCGCTGGGGGCAGCACCAACTGCCCCAGCGGCCAAGAGGGGTCCAACCTAGCTACGTCTCTGATTCTTTCTTCTCCTTTTGGCTCGGTTTGGTTCTGCTGCCCAGCGGCCAAGAGGGGTCTAACCTGCCCCAGTGGTTCTGGGTTCTACCTGTTTTCTCGCCCCGCTGGTTCAGGGCGCTTGTTTTCTCGCCCCGCTGGTTCAGGGCGCTTGTTTTCTCGCCCCGCTGGTTTTGGGCGCTTGTTTTCTCGCCCCACTGGTTCTGGGCGCTTGTTTTCCGTGGAGAGGCGTAAGCGCGCGTGTGATGCTGCCGTGCCTTCAATGCTACAAGAGGAGCCAAGAGGAGGGACAGCAATGCCCTTCACGCATGGTACAAGCTGTCGTGCTTTTCCTTTTCTTTCTGCTAATCATGTGTTTGTTGTTGCCTTGGAGCATCAGGAGGAGACTGCAGCGCCCTTCACGCATGGTACGCCGCTCTCGTGTTTTTCTTTTTTTTGCTGACCGTGTGCTTGTTGTTGTCTTAGTGTGGCAGCGCCAGGAGGAGACTGCAGCGCCCTTCGCGCATGGTACGCCGCTCTCGTGTTTTTCTTTTGATTGCTGACCGTGTGCTTGTTGTTGCCTTAGTGTGGCAGCCAGGAGGAGACTGCAGGCGCCCTTCACGCATGGTACGCCACTCTCGTGTTTTTCTTTTGATTGCTGACCGTGTGCTTGTTGTTGCCTTAGTGTGGCAGCCAGGAGGAGACTGCAGCGCCCTTCACGCATGGTACGCCGCTCTCATGTTTTTCTTTTGATTGCTGACCGTGTGCTTGTTGTTGCCTTAGTGTGGCAGCCAGGAGGAGACTGCAGCGCCCTTCACGCATGGTGCGCCGCTCTCGTGTTTTTCTTTTTTTTGCTGACGGTGTGCTTGTTGTTGCCTTAGTGTGGCAGCCAGGAGGAGACTGCAGCGCCCTTCACGCATGGTACGCCGCTCTCGTGTTTTTCATTTTATTGCTGACCGTGTGCTTGTTGTTGCCTTAGTGTGGCAGCCAGGAGGAGACTGCAGCGCCCTTCACGCATGGTACGCCGCTCTCGTGTTTTTCATTTTATTGCTGACCGTGTGCTTGTTGTTGCCTTAGTGTGGCAGCCAGGCCAGGAGGAGACTGCAGCGCCCTTCACGCATGGTACGCCGCTCTCGTGTTTTTCTTTTTATTGCTGACCGTGTGCTTGTTGTTGTCTTAGTGTGGCAGCCAGGAGGAGACTGCAGCGCCCTTCACGCATGGTACGCCGCTCTCGTGTTTTTCTTTTTATTGCTGACCGTGTGCTTGTTGTTGCCTTAGTGTGGCAGCGCCAGGAGGAGACTGCAGCGCCCTTCGCGCATGGTACGCCGCTCTCGTGTTTTTCTTTTGATTGCTGACCGTGTGCTTGTTGTTGCCTTAGTGTGGCAGCCAGGAGGAGACTGCAGCGCCCTTCACGCATGGTGCGCCGCTCTCGTGTTTTTCTTTTTTTTGCTGACGGTGTGCTTGTTGTTGCCTTAGTGTGGCAGCCAGGAGAAGACTGCAGCGCCCTTCACGCATGGTACGCCGCTCTCGTGTTTTTCATTTTATTGCTGACCGTGTGCTTGTTGTTGCCTTAGTGTGGCAGCCAGGAGGAGACTGCAGCGCCCTTCACGCATGGTACGCCGCTCTCGTGTTTTTCATTTTATTGCTGACCGTGTGCTTGTTGTTGCCTTAGTGTGGCAGCCAGGCCAGGAGGAGACTGCAGCGCCCTTCACGCATGGTACGCCGCTCTCGTGTTTTTCTTTTTATTGCTGACCGTGTGCTTGTTGTTGTCTTAGTGTGGCAGCCAGGAGGAGACTGCAGCGCCCTTCACGCATGGTACGCCCCTCTCGTGTTTTTCTTTTTATTGCTGACCGTGTGCTTGTTGTTGTCTTAGTGTGGCAGCCAGGAGGAGACTGCAGCGCCCTTCACGCATGGTACGCCGCTCTGGTGCTTTCTTTTTATTGCTGACCGTGTGTTTGTTGTTGCCTTAGTGTGGCAGAAGAATGGACAAGAGGAGGGACATCAGAGGAGGGGAGCAGTGGACAGGAGCAGAGGAGGGGAGCAGAGGAGGGGAGCAGAGGAGGGGAGAAGAGGAGGGGAGTAGAGGAGAGGAGCAGAGGAGGGGAGCAGAGGAGGAGGGTAGCAGAGGAGGGCAGCAGCGGAGGGCAGCAGAGGTATGACGAATTCAATTCAAGCAAAGCTTTCTGGTCCTTGGATTGCTCTCTGTTCTCTTTCACTTTTCTGGCAAACATCAGTTCTTGTGCTTGTTTCACACTTTTGTGCACCATACAACTCTTCGTTCAAACTTGGGCAGCAGAGGAGGGCAGCAAAGGAGGGCAGCAGCGGGAGTAGACCAGAGAGGCTGCTGCACCCGTGGACGGCAGAGAGGAGGCTGCTGCACCTGGGGACGGTAGAGAGGAGGGTGCTGCACCTGTGGACGGCAGAGGAGGCTGCTGCACCTGTGGACGGCAGAGAGGAGGGTGCTGCACCTCTGGGTTGCTTCCCGGCTCTCCCAAACTCGTGGGTGCCTTTCCTACCTTGCCTTACCTACCTTGCCAAACTTGCCTCACTCTTGGCTTGTTGACTTGTCTGTCCGCCTTCACCCCTTCTGCCCTTACCCTTGCTACCCTTGCTGCCTTGCTGCCTTCACCATAAGTGTTTGACCGTTACTGCCTCGACCCTTTGTGCTCTTACAATGCATGTTTGGTACTTTCGCTCACTCACACCTCATCCCACCCGTCCCAGCCATCTGCTCCCACAGGCACTTGTGCTCGTGAGTGCTCGTCAGGAAGCGCTCTGGCGGAGTGTGCCTGCCCTCCCACACCAGTAGCAGCAAGGCGGAGTGTGCCTGCCCTCCCACACCAGTAGCAGCAGAGGCGAGTGGCAGCTGGGGAGCAGTGGAGGGGGGAGGGAGTGGAGCAGAGGAAGGGGTGTGGAGGTGAGTCGACCCAGTCACTCCTGACATTCCTCTCTGCGCCCAGCCTGATCAATTTTCCTGTTTGACACTCACACTTGCAAAATCTTTGGCTCAAAACTAGATCCTTTTTCTTTCCTTTGGCTCGTGGCAGGTCTAGGGGCTTAGGAGGGGAGCAGAAGTGTGGAGGAGAGGAAACATGGGAGAGGAGAGGAGGCGAGCATGCAGCTGAAGCAGAGGCAGAGTCGAGCAACAGAGGCAGAGGCGAACAGCAGCAGGGGAGCAGTGGAGGGGAGCAGAGGGAGTAGGCGAGAGAAAGCTGTGTGGAGGTGACTCGAGCCCACGTGTCATTCCTCTCTGTGCCCTGCCTGACCACTCCTGCTTTCCTGTTCCACATGAGGTCATATCATTCAAACTTTTTCTTCCTTGTTCTTCACTCCTTGGCTCATGGCAGGTCGGAGCAGAGGAGGGGAGCAGAGGAAGGGAGCAGGGGAGTGGAGCAGGGGAGTGGAGCAGAGGAGTAGGGGTGCGGCAGAGGAGTGAGTGTGGAGGTGGAGGAAGCAGCTGAAGCAAAGGCGAGCGGCTGGAAGGAAGCAGAGGATAGGAGCTGGGGAAGGGAGCAGGGGAGTGGAGCAGAGGAAGGGGCAATGAGGTGAGTGGAGCCCACTTACACCTGTCATTCGTTGCTGTGCCATCAGAAATCTGGTGAGATCAGAGCCATGATAGAATCCGTCTCTTCCTGGCTTGTCAGTCAAATCGAATTCCTTCCTCCCTCCTTGGCATGTTGGAGCAGCCGAGGCAGAGGGAGCAGCAGAAGCAGAAGGGGTTAGCGGAAGCAGAGGGAGCAGAAGAAGCAGAAGGGGTTAGCGGAAGCAGAGGGAGCAGAAGAAGCAGAAGGGGTTTAGCGGAAGCAGAGGGAGCAGAAGGGGGGACAAAAAAGGGGTTCAAAATCCGAAGGGTGGGAAAGCTGGGCGCCCAGGTTCCCCACCCATCCATATGTTCTACCCGCCCAGGTTCCCCACCCATCCATATGTTCTACCCGCCCAGGTTTCCCACTCAGAGGGTGGGAAACTTGCGCACCCATCAATGTGTTCCTGAGGGATACAGCCATTTTTATGGCTATATTCATTTCCAGCCATTATTATGGCAATGTTTCCTTCTAGCCATTTTTATGGCCATGTTTCGTTCTAGCCATAATTATGGCAGTGTTTTGTTCCAGCCATTGTTATGGCAACTACAAGTCCTTATCATTGCTTGGGAGAATATATCTCCCAAGCAGTGCTTTGCAAATGCCTTCTTTGGGAACTACACTCTGTTCCTTTTGTTCCGTTCCTCTTGTTTTGAGAAGCACGGTCTCTCACCCATGCCTCGTTTTCTTCCCTTTTGGGAACTACTCACTTTTTGAAGCCCCTTTGGGAACTACTCTCTTTTTGAAGCCCCTTTGGGAACTGCCTTCATTTCTTCCCCTTTGGGAACTACGAGTCCTTACCATTCCTTGGGAGAACATATATCCCAGGCAGTGTTTTGGAAATGCCTTCTTTGAGACTACTCACTTATGCAGCCTCTTTGGGCAGTGCCCTCGTTTTCTTCCCCTTCGGGAACTACCGTACCTGTTTTTCCCGCTTTGACAGCCATGTGTCACCTCCATAGGGTGGGAAATTCAATTTCCCGGCCATTGGTTCGGACACCTCTGGTTGCCAGCGATTCCGTTGGCAAGGTTCCTTTAGCACCTTTGCCAGCGTTTCCTTTAGCCCTTTGGGAACTGCCCTCTTTCTTCCCCTTTTGGGAACTACCCTCCTTCTCTTACCCTTTGGCAGCTACCTCTTTCTAAGCCCCTTTGGGAACAACCTGTTTTTTGCGCTTGGCAACCATACCTGTCACTTCCATAGGGCGGGAAAATGAATCTCCTGGCAATTGGTTGAGACAACTCTGGTTTGACAGCGCCTCTTTTGGGAACCAATGTTCCTTCCCCTTGTTCTTTCCGCCCCTTTGAAAGCTACCTCTCTGTTGTGCTTGGCAACCATACCTGTCACTTCCATAGGGTGGGAAAATAGATTTCCCAGCCATTGGTTGAGGCAATTCTGGTTGGCAGCACCTGTTTTGGGAACCGCCGTGCGGTTCCTTTGCCCCGCTTGGGCGTTTGTTTTCCCCTAGCGACGGTCCCCCACCTCACAGTGGTGCCAGGGTGTAACGCTACGGGCAGCAGCACCACCAGCTGCCCCTAGCGGCCAAGAGGGGTCCAATCCAGCTGTTTGCCTTGGTAATCAAGGTGGACAGCTGCTACCACCATCAAGAGGGTGGTATTACTTTATTCTCTCTGCTTTTTGGCCTATGCTGGTTACCTTTTCTCTCCTTTCTTTGACCTCTATCTATTGCATGGTTCTCTGTGCTCTTTGTCCTTTGATGATTACCGTCTCTCTCTAGTCTTGGGCCTCTACGGTATTGCTGGGTTCTCTCTTTTCTTCGACCTACCGTATGATGATTACCATCTCTATTCTTGAGCCACTTCGAACGGGTATTTTGCTTAAAATTGTAATAGCATACGGTATTTCTCGATTTGCCAGACTCTTCGAAGAAACATTTTCTAACTCCAGGGCTAGACATGCTAGGTACTTTAGATGTGCTAATATCATAGGATAATATTATTTATACACCGGACCCGGTAATATGCCTGCTAGGATAGAAAAAAAATGTTAGGATACAATATGCCAGGATGCAATTACAGGATGCAATATGGCAGGATGCAATTACAGGATGCAATATGGCAGGATGCAATATTTGGATACAGTATGCGTGCCAGGATACAATACCATATGCCAGACCAGGATGCAATGCACTATGCCAGGATGCAATGCAATATGCCAGGGTGCAATACAATATGCCAGGATGCAATACATAAGGCCATGATGCAATACAATATGCCAGGATGCAATACAATATGTCAGGATGCAATACAATATGTCAGGATGCAATACCTTATCACCCCGGATATAAGCGCAGGCCTACCGGTATGTTAAGCCCATACGCTTATATCTAGAGCAATGCGCTTATGGTCGATCCTCAATTATAAGCGCACCCCTTATAAAACCCTGATTTATTATAAGCGCATGTATAAACATATAAAAAAAAACCGGATTAAAACAGTAACAACTTCCCGTTTTGAAGCGAGTCCACATCCACTTCTACTCTGTTCGACTCCCTCGAGGGCGGGCTCGCTCACGAAAAGCGCAACGGCGCGAAGTTGAACTGACAGGGGGCCTCGGGAACACCTGTTGTCAGTGCGCTGCGAGTGAGCGACTGCAGGCTATTGGTCGTACACTGGGGCAAGCCTGTGCGATGCGAACGAGCGACTGCAAACTATGGGTTCGTACACTCTGCTGGGGCGAGCATGACACATTCCTATGCGAAAGTGATGTGTCCTTGCCCTTGTGCGCCGGCAGAGAATCGCCCTCGTGCGATTCTGATTCAGAATGTGTTGGGCTGAAAAAAGCCCTTAGGATCTTTGCAGGGGTGAATTCTGGGTAGGACTGACGTAATAGGGGAAGCGTTTAATGAAGTACTGTGAACCATCTTGCGCTAGTATGTGAGGGCAAAGTAGATTGATTAAAGCAAGGAGATACAAGATTATATAAGAGTACAAGGAATACGAAGAGATGCAGTTATAACTACTTTACTGTTGCTGTTGCGGTTCGATACAGTCACGACTCGGGCAACTGCTCTGTAGCGAGTCAGTTGTGTGTCCTTGCTGTCGCGCTGTACTTGTCAGGTCAAAGGTCCCTGACCTTTGACTTTCGAGTAACCTCTAACAGTTACTTTCAACCTCTGAGGGTTGACTCGCCGGTGCTTCGATATGCTTCGCTTCGCTTGTGCCTTGGTGTTTCGACACGACAGAGGCGCTTAAGATTGTTTGTTCCCAACACTCCCCTTCGCTTCTGGAGTGTCGCTGATGGTGACGTGGCTCTGTCCAGTCAGCAGCATGCAGTACTTGAACTTCTGCTTTCCGAGCTTCTTGGTCAGGTAGTCAGCTACCATCTCGGACGTGGGGCAGTATGACAGCTCGAGCCTCCCTTTTTCGATCTCGTCCTTTACGAAGAAATATCGCAGGGCGATGCGTTTCGTCCTGTTCGCGAAGTCGTTCTTGTTGGCGATGCGAATTGCCGACTGGTTGTCGCAGAACAGAGTGAAGCTGGGTAACTGAGCCAGTTTCGCTTCTTCCAGTAGTTCGCGAATGTAAAGTCCTTCCTTGGTGGCTGAGCAGAGTGCAATATATTCTGCTTCAGCTGACGAGAGGGTGATTAATTCCTGCTTGCTCGATTGCCAAGAGATAGGTCCGATAGGTTCGAGGCGGTGGATGTAGCCGGTGCGAGAACGCCTATTGTCGGAGTCGCCAGCGTGATCGGCGTCGACGTAGCCGATTAACTTAGGCGGTGTAGTTGCGTTCTTGTAGTAAGTTAGACCGATCGTCGGGGTGCTGACTAGGTAGTGAAGAGCGCGGTCGAGCTCAGCTAGATGTTCTGCTTCAGGCTTCTTGAGGTAGGTGGCGAGCTGGCTTGCAGAGTACGATAGGTCCGGGCGACAGGTGACGGCTGCGAAAAGGAGGCATCCCAGTTTCCTCTGGTAGTCGCGTATGCTGGCATGCTTAAATAGAGCGGAGCTTCCCTTGCTGTTTCCTGTCGTGTAGCGGTACGGTGTGGAGATGGCGGTCGGTGTGAGTGCGAAGCGCTTGGCAATGGTGTCGACGTATTTCGCGGAATTGAGGTAGATCGCATCTTCCTCTTCTCGGATGTTGAGACCGAGGTACCGCGTAACGGTAGATGAGACCGTGGGTGTGAGGTCCTTCTCCAGCTCCCCTTCGAACCAGGTTGTGATGCCGTCGGTCGAGCCGATGTAGAGTAGATCGTCTACATAGACGATTAACAGGATGTAGTCGGTGTTCTTCGTGAGCCGGTACATGCCCTGATCATGCGGTAGTTGTTTGAAGCTGATGCGAATGAGGCGAGCGTGCAGGTATTGTTGCCATTGCCGCGGAGCTTGCTTGATGCCGTAGAGCGACTTCAGCAGCTGACAGAATTGATTGGGCTCTCCTTTGGAGCCATGCGGCAACTCGACAAAGATTTCTGCGTCGATAGGTGCGTAGAGAAATGCGTTCGCGACGTCGATTTATCGCAACTTCTTCTTCTTCATGGCGGCGATCGCGAGGAGGATTCGTAGTGAGGTATGTCGGCTGACCGGAGCGAATGTCTCAGTGAAGTCACGTCCGTGTTCTTGGTCGAAACCACGTACGGCCCAGCGAGCTTTGAATTTGTCGATGCTGCCGTCTGCTTTCCATGCGGAAAACCCACTTTCCGGCGAGAATCGTTTTGTTCCGCGCCACACTGATGGGAACGGCTTTCCAAGTGTTGCACTCCTCTAGTGCCTTTAATTCCCAATCCATGGCTTTGCGCCATTCTTCCTTATGCTCCCCCCCCAAAGCCTGCTGAACCGTGGCAGGCTCCTTAGGAATGGCCGTGCCGTGGACTGCGGTGACGAGCCCGAGTATCTCGAGTCCACTCTGTGTATAGCGGGGGA